ATTACCTCAAATCCATTCCTCTCATTTAAAATTAATGGCATTGGACCTTCCCTGACCCCAGAGGTAAGCCTGGCCAAGTTTTATTTTCTCTTCTAGAACACATTGGGGATTAAGTTTTCCTCTCCTTATCAGTTCTATCAATGAAGATGGTATGGTAATATTTGGGGGATCACTGGATCTTTCTACTTTTCTCTTCAGAATTATTCTTTTTTTTCATATATACAGTATATAGTATGTATATACAATCCATCAGTACAAATCTTTGCAATTCCAATCTCCAATTCAGAGCAATACATTCATTTTCTAGTGATGATGTTCAAGGATAAGGCTGGTGCTGTTTGGTGTTTCTAATTGTATCAGCAAATCTGTTGAAAAGACCATAACCAACATTTAAATCCCATCTTCCCCCCAGTCTGTAGCACTCAGTCCAAGCGTAATGGTTTCAACTGAAACCATTTGTTTGTTGACAATGAGAAAAATACAAAAAATCCCCTTATCCATGAAATCCAATTCCAGGTGCACTGACATGGAAAAGCTAGGGTTAACATAGCTGGAGGAAACGATGGAAAGCAACAGTTTTTCAACTGTGTTATAATCATATCAAATTACTCTCAGTGTGAATAACCTGTTCTATGTCATTTTCCCTTTTATGGCAGCTGGATAGACATTTAGACAATAGAGGCTCTCATGAAATGAAGCTCATCCACATTTGAGCACCAGCATTTCTCCTCTACATTGCCAGTGATAAGTGTACACAATCTACCAGATGGTACTGTAAACACACACTCCAGAATGTAGAATTCCACTCGTATAAAGTGCCCCGATGCATAATGTCACACTGTTATACGCTGAGCTATATTACCTTTGCTCATTGGAGGGGTGAGGATTGGGGGTTTTGGAGACTCGTGCTCCCTGTAATCCGAAGACACAACCATTGGTGGTGGAGGTAGGGTTCCCGGCCTTATGAGCAGGACAGCTACCAGCTCTCTAATCACCGGGTCTCAGAGACAGCCGGAGGTAAAGGGAGAGTGGATGGGTGAGCAACATCCAAGTAGGAAGGAGAGAAGGAAAATAGGCAAGGTTTATACCTCATAGATTACATCAAATGACAGCTGCTTCACAGAAGCAAATCCTTTTGGTGTGAAAAGACGAGTGCAGATGCTGTCCCACGGCACATTGTTGGTGATGAAATGTAGCGGCTTTGTGGTTTCATCTAAGCAACCACAGCTGGTGCCATGTTCAAAGCATCCTTAAGAAGAGGCTATATGCAAAAAGTCCTGAAGTCCTCCTCCGCATACTTTGTCTCCAGACTTTGTGCTTTGCTCATATTTCCAAAGTTGAATTGAATCTCTAAAATCCCAGAGAGTCAGACAGAATGACGGGAAGGTAGATTGATAGTGTACTTTTCTAATTGCTCATGCAGGCATGAGGAGATTACAAGGCCATATTCATTCAAAGAAAAGAGCAACACGTTCAGTCACGGTCTTACAACAGTGTTTTGGAGAAGGCAAATAAGATAATGTTTTTTGTTTTTTCTTCCATTTTGCCTTTGAAATTGTGAAGTATTACAAGTAAATTCAGCTTTATTCCCGTCTGGCAGCATATTTTGTAAACGCCTCGAGTTTGCGATACAATAAGGAAGTGCTACAGGCGGTAAATAATAGATTCATATTTTATCAAAAAGCTTTGATGCAGCCAGAATCCAGGTATGGTTGTAACCCCAGAGCTCATTGTGATAGAGCACATTGTGTTCCCTTCTCCACACTTGATTTACTGCCATGACTGGTTTAAAAGAAAGACAATAGGATTGGTGCTATTGATAATTAGTTTTTAATGTGCCACACTCATCATGTCCAATTTCATGCCCCTTAGGCTACTGATCACAGATTTAATCAACACATTATTGCTTGCTATACTTAAACTGACTAAAGGCAGGCTTCTTTCTCTCTCTGTGTGTGTGTGTGTGTGTGTGTGTGTGTGTGTGTGTGTGTGTGTGTGTATGCTGGGAGTGTACAGAAGACAGAGCGCGTGTTTGTGTGACCGTGGAGCGAGCATGGGGAAGTTGTCAGCATGTGCATCCATCCCAGCAACGTCCTTCTTTGATAGACATTGAATGTGTGTTCCAAGCCATTAACCAAGAGCTACGTTTGAAGATGACGCGCTTGGAAGCGTGTTGTGTTGTGTCGAAGGAAGCCATTGTTATTATTGTGTTTCTATATAGCGGAGAAGAGAGTGTCCAGGCCTCCCTCTCCTGATGAATACAGATGAAAGCAGGGATGTTATGTCCGTTCTTTTATTTTTTATATACCACTCTTATAACACTTGGGAGTTTTTTTTGTTTTTGTTGTTGTTACTATGTGAGGTTGGCTCATTCTTTTAAAAAGAACGTGTATCTTTGGTTTTATTATTATACTGTACAAATGCAAAAAGTCTTTCAGTAGAGGGACCAAATCAAATGCAACATTGTTTTAAATTCATAAGGGGTAAAGGTCATGTCCATTGCAGCATATCAATGTATTTAGATGCACTAGTAGTGCTATGACATTTTCATTATTTATTTTTGCATTTATTAAAAAAAACATAGGTTTAGTGATTCATTATACAATACATTTATTTATATATCTTTTGTACTTTGGTTTTCTTTTTAAAAAAGATCTTTCTTGTTTAATTTTTGCTGAAGATGAGGATTTTTAACTCTAACTCACTTACATTTTTGTTCTTGGCTGCTGCTGGTGTTGTGCTTGACAACGGCTTAACGAGTTGATTTCACAACAAAGAGACTATAATAAGTTGTCAGGCTTGTGAATGAGCACAGATGAAGAGAAAGAAGAGGCAGAAAATCGGGAGCCAGTTCATCTCGAACTGCTCAGCTCCCTGGCTGTGAGTCGAATGTAGAGAGAGAGACATCGTGAGATAGTGGAGGCCTTCATTATATGCAGCTCAGGCCCTGGTGAAACCCTGGTTAATGTCCCTATCATCTCTGGAGTGGTCCAACGTCTAGCTCTCTGTCCAAATGACTCATGTTTAATGCATCTCTGCAGTTCTTGTCATTTAACCTCACCTCTGGAGGTTGTAGGTCGGGGTGGAATAGCGAAGGATCCCACAAGACCCATAAGGGGCAAAGCGACCGTGCAGTTATTCTTCACCCGCTCTCCATTTACTTAACATGGGGAGAGCTGCTCCATGGCTCATCTGTTGCTGTGTAATCTCCCCAAAGCAAACCCCCCTCTCCACATCACACTGCATGAACCTGAACTCGCGGGTGGTCTGGGTTGACTGTGTGGCTCTCTGAGGCACTTTGTTGCACTGCTTCCCGTGTGCTACGGCTGAATGCTTAAACAGGAGACAACTGATGCTATCCTGGAGACTTTATGACTTACTCTTTAGTCTTCAGATGAGCACTCCAGTTTATAGCTTTGGTAAAAGCCTTTCAGGTACGATCGAAGGCTGCCAAACTCCATCAACCTTATTCTTTTTGGTTTTCTATGTTTTTTAATATTTTATATATATATACAGTATATATAAATATATATATGTGTAAAAGGCCTGAAGGGATGGGCTATCAGTCTTGCTGGCTTGGCAGATTTTAGCGACTTTTGAAACTAGTGCTGTTTTTCAGTTGGTGAATTTTCAATAACTAGCTTGCTCTTGTTGGTTTCCCCAATGTTACCGGACCCGAGCTTTAAGCTTGCAGAGATACGTGTCCAAGCAAATAAGGAACAATTCAACAGGACACATCCTCATCATTGCTGTGTAACGGGATGTAAAGGAGCTTGATCTTCATGCTGCATTTTCCTCCGATTTTCACAGCTTACATGCAAAGACTACCTCCCTTTCACTCCTCGTCCCCCCCCCCCCCACACACACCCACTTACACACACCCACTCAAACCCCCTGCCTCTCTGTCTTGCTTTGGATAATGGTAATTAGAACATCACCATGATTGAAATTTGGCAAAAGTTGAAGAGGAAATAGGTTTTCTAATCAAAAGCTGCCTCGTAGCTGGAATCCATGCTCACTTGGCTGAAAAATATTCGTCAACGATGGGGGCCTAAACGGATGCCAGATTGTATACTGAGGGTATGTCGGATTTCATACACATGCCCCAGTTGAGCCTGTTTTAGCCACTTATTTATTTAAGTGTGTGCTTTGGTGTGATTTCTATGATGTTAGATGAGAAGATTGATAACACTGCCAATTCTGTCACTTAATCTGAAGTCTGCAGTCAGCAGCTTGCTCAGAATGAAGACTGGAAGCAAGAAATAAAAATTAATTCCACCTACAGTACGAGCGCCGCTAAAGCTCACTGGTTAACATCTTTTATCTATTTTGTTTATCCCATACAAAAACCCATTTATAAAGGCAGAAAGTTGCGCTCGTATGGGGGTTCATGTGCTCGGCCGTCTCTTGGCTCGGAGCAGTGGCTTCCTGCTGGTTGCGTGGCAACCTCTCGCTGTTGCCTATGGTGTCACTTCCCACACATTTACTAACTTGAGCTGACTCCTTTCCTCTTTCATTCCGCCGATGCTTGAAAGACAATGGCAATGTTAATGTCGTTAATGTGTGCTATACAGTTGAGAGTCTTGGTGTATCACGATGCTAATTCAGTAGATGTGTGGCATGGAGCCAAATATAGATACTAGCACAAGATGACATCTTCACAGGAGTTGTAATCCGCAACATTTTGGTATTACCTAATAAAAAACAGATGGTTCAAAGCCCATTTGTAAATGAATGTGCCTTTGGAGTTAAAACCTGACACTTGAACTTCAAAAACTGTCCGTTTCTCAACTCACTTGTGGTGTTATAATGATTTTCCTTTTGCAGAGGGAAACAGCATGAATGACTTTTCTTTGCTTCTTATCTGACCATGAACCTTGACTCAATGGCAAATGTCAGGCAATTCAATTTAGATGGGGCTTCGAATGCTAACCTCCCTTTCTGTTCCCCCCCCCCCCTCCCTTCTACCCTTCCCCATCTGTCCTTCTCTTCCAACACAGGAGCTGCCCAGGACCCAGGTAAGCCTAAATCACTTCTTCTATCCTTTCCCTCGCCACATCCTCTCACCATGTTCTGTCTATTTTTAAAACATTCTTCCTCTCCGCATCTAGCGCTGGTGTATTGCGTACGACCAATCCACAACCTTCCATTTTCCGTTTCTCTCATTCTCTCACACATTTAGATTTCCATCAGCCTCTCTCGCATTTTTTCCACAAATATTTTGTGTATATACTTTTTTTGACCAATTGTAGTATGTATCTGCTTTTGTGTTGCTTGTCATTGCTGTGTCATGTTGATTAGCTATTCATTACTCATTATCTTGCAGGTTTCATTCCTGAGATGGATGTTGCCTTTTGAATCAAGATTTAAACGTTTTTGATCAACCTTATTCATTTTTAACATAAGTCCTTTTTGGTAGCTTTAGCTAAATTTTGGCTGTCGACAGCCAATGATCAAGTTTCTGTTGACATTCTGCTCTGTTTGTTTGGACTTGCAGCAATCTGTTCATTGTGTTTGCTCACAGTGTCAATGCACTTATACATGTTGACATTGTCCTGTCCTGAGAGAAATATCTTTGAACCACACATTCTAAGAGATGTTATAGAATTGCAATATAAGAGTATGTACCTCTTTTGTCTCTTGCCATCAGTAGCTTTATTAACAAAAAACACATCCAAACGTCCCTCTCAGCTCCTCTGTCCACATGAATCACTGCATGTACTGCATAGACACAAAGCAGCAAATGTTCATTGATTTAAAAATGACCAGTTTAAAATTTAATGTGTAATTCTAAATTATAAATGCTGTTTTTATAAACTAATTCATTTCAGTGCTTTTTACTTCAGTTAAACTCAAAACGTCATGCATATGTTTGGTATTGGTATGTATTGGTTTGATGAACAGAACAAATATTGGAAGCAATTGAAATTGACCAGTGAGTAACACCCTGGTCTCCAAAACAATATGTTCCCATACGTCCCAATACTTTTTTAGAGAATGATATTTTCACCAGATTATGTTTGTTTTAGACGTATCACAAACACCATTCTCGTCAGTCCACGGAAGCCCAAGTCAAACAAACACAGGACTTGCACCAAGCAGGCTGCTATTCGTGTCTGGCATGCAACCAAAGATTAAAGCTACCTTATTTTAATCTACATCTGTAACTTCAAAAAAATAACAAAAAAAACTTATTTTAAGCCTAAACATCAGGTGTCACTAAGGTAATTGTGTTGCCGAAACTTTGTTGCATTATTGTTTTGTTTCAATTTACAATTTTAACAATTTGTTTAAAACTGTGAGCATAATCTGGGAGAAAATACATTCCCCTTGTAACATATACGAGAATGCAGACTAGGTGTATGGTAACGCAATATTGTAGGAGACAGCGTTGTGAGTAACAACGCATTAAAAGGAGCAATTTGGGAAACAGGAAGACATCTAAGATCTAATATGATCAAATATAAAACTGTGAAAATGAGTAATGAAGCCCTGTCTCTAATACAAGCCTGTTCCACATGAAGGCCTGCTCCTTTCTGCAGTTGAGGTAAATATAAACCATTGCTGTGTTTTGAGAATTTACGGTAGATTACGTTTTGAATGATAAAAATTAACAATTAATCATAAAAACAAACATTATTTCCCTAGTCATAATTTGCTTCCGTAGCTGCCCTCACAAGAAGATAATTGTATGCTGTAAATCAAGTCTTGCCGCCTTCACTTCCCTTCTCCCCTGTCTCCCGTCTACCAAGCCTTTTAATCCAATTAGCAGGGCCAGGGACAGTTATTTATATGTACATGAATTAGAATTGAACAGTAGGACATCCTCCCCTGAGGCGGATTGGACGGAGCCCAGTCCTTCTCACAGGCCGGCCTTCGGTCACAAACCTATGCTGCTGCCGACAGGCAGTGGTGAGCTCTGCAGCCGATTGCCAACAAAGCAGCAACAGAAACTCACACCAACATGCGCTGCCAATGACAATCATCATCTCGTTTGACTTCAATGTGAAAACCGAATCAGTGCACGCGTTTCATCCTCTGCAGTGAAATACTTGGAAACATATTGTTTCATCTTTCCAATGTTATCTTTTCTAAAAATGTCAAGACTAAAAAAATATTTCACTCGTTCAAATTGATGCACTCGAATAAGTCTTCTCGGTGTTCAGGTTTGTCTTGGATGTGTCTTTCTATTGCATTCCATTGCGTTGGACTGAAACTGTAGATGTGCCAAATGAGTATGTAAGCTGCCAAATATGGCTCTCTTACCCTTTTGAACTATTTTCCAATGATTGCAGTACTTCAAAGTGTTGTGAATGTCACACTATTGGCAGCATAACCATTTCAAAAGGTTTTAAACACAATATGTTCGCAATCAACATTAACATTTGAAAACATGGATTTATTATTGATGCCCCTTTTAGTTCAGTCACACAGATGTTGATGTTTACAGTTGTTTGTCGGCGGAGTTACTTAGCAAAATTCTACACGTAACATTTGTAAAGGGGGATTTAAAGAACTTAATAAAAGTCCCAGACGGCTTCTTATCAAACAAGTATTATTAGCTTTTGAATAATTTTCATTTATTTTCACTTTAGAATAGAAGTCCTATTTGTGTGTTCTCTAAGTGTACAATAAATAAAACTGAAATAGAAAGTAATAAACAACTCGATAGAGATCAATTGAGACAAAACTCAAAGATAAAAACGCAACATTTCCAAGGTACTTTATGAATGTGAAGCCAAAGTCAGACTTGCATCTCACGTGTGATGAGAGTAAAATAATTGTGTTTTTCACAATTAATATTCTCATAATTCTCATGCCCGTTCAGTGAGCCCTTGTGACCTGTGTGTAAGCATCTACATTCACTTTGTATCCCCACTCATTTATTCAGATTCACCCTTTATATTGTCACTGTATTGTCACTTTTTTCACAAGTGTGATTTAATGTAATTTTACATAAACTGTGAATACTACAGGCTCCACAAACGAGTCCTATAGGTTCCTTCAGCTGTTCATTTTGTGTATGATAATTGGTAAATCATCTTCAAGCAATCGAGTCAACACATGGAAACTAGACTGATCAGCTGATCATTCTCTAGAAACAAGGTCCAAAACTGTTAAAGTTTACCTCAAAATCAAAAACCCATACTTCCCTCCGACCTGTTCAACTATTTATCAGTCTTGATTGTTTTGGTGTGGGTTGCCTTGTGTTGGAGATGCCGGCTGTACAGATGTCTGCCTTCTCTCGAATATTATAGAACCAGATGGCACTCGGCAAACTTCAGTTCTGAGAAGTGAAGCAAATGCTTTCATCTTAGAACTTTAAAACATTTCACTGTGTGTTTACACTTCATGAAAGTCAATTGTTGTATTTTAGATGCATAAAATTGTCCGATTAAGCATTTGGTTGTATTTAGAATCACCATCTCTTGTTAATTCTAGTTGCAGAAAAACAGGATGGTGATGGATGATTATGATTATTATTATTATTATTATTAGTATTATTATTATAGTGGGGGCAGTAATAGTAGCAGTAGGATCACCTGAGCATTAAATATATCTATTAGCCAGATTTAGAAACAGGTTATGTCCTTTACACTAACCCTACCTGCCGGATGGATTGTTACACAACCATCTGAAAAGTAGTGATTGGAAACTATTTGGGAAAAAGGGCAGGAGCTTTCAAAAACTACATGGCAGGTGATCGGATGAACCATCTGTCAATCGAACTCTTTTCGAAGCAGTCGGGAGAAGAGTGAAAAAGATCTTTTCCATCCAGAAAAGCCTTCAGTGCCTTTCAGTCTTTCGCTCTTCTTTCATTGAAGAAATCCTCTCCAGTTCTGGTATAACTGATGCTATCGCAGCATCTACATCTTAGAAGCCGCCATTTGTTGTTTTGAACACCCATTTGCCACATTTTGTTGTTTCGCACACACCTAGGCCACGCCCGTAGGTGGCATTAGCGCCTCACAGGATGCTGATTAGTCACTGGCTGACACATACGTATTACTTGAAGCCTGACACAATGGATTTTGGTGCGATGTGTGATCTCGTGACATCGTGAGAATTCAGCTCATGTGCAAGCTCATAACATCACTTGAGTAAACCAGTTCCAAAAATGGACCATACTTGGAAGGAAAAAAAAATGGAGAGCTACCTAAATATACGTATCTAAGTCAAAGGTCACAGTGCTTCCTTAGTTGACCTGCCATAACAGACAAGACTTCTCTCCTTGTGTGACTTGTGTGCTTGCTGTGTATGCCAATCAATAGAATGGAAGACGTGAGAGGATGGAGGTTGGCTGAGGGACGCAGCAGTTAAACACAAGGAGTCTTATCCATGTGTGCACAGAGAGAGGCGCAAGCACACACAAACACACACACATACACACAAGCAAACGCACACAGAGTACAGCTCAGATTAATGACTAAATCAATCACACGGATACAGTGTTTGCTTGTCATCCTGTATGCTTTTCTTTTATAACACAGGTTAAATTTCCCAGGCTACTGAAGCTCTATCAGCCTTTCCTCCGAATATGTATTCAGCAAGGTCATCTCTCACTGCACCAAGAAAATTTGCCAACCGCAGGATGTGTCTTTGCTATTGCAATGTCAATAGTCCCCAGTCCAATGCATTGCAATCTACATTTGTCAATACACGTGTCACTTAGAGCCACACCGTGAGCTGAGGATGCAGCTCGTTTATTAGCGAGACCTTGTTTTGACTCCTGCTCACTCGTAGATTTATGCAGGTAATGACAGATTTTTTTTTTTTTAAATCTTATTGAAGCTCTCCAGTAATGAAATAGATAAATAAATAATAATAAAGTGCTACGTGATTTTCACTACTACAACTGGTCGGGGTCAATATTTTACTGTTTGCCAGTTTCTAATTTAGCGATGCAAAAAATGTGTCAATCAAAGGCTCCAATAGATTCTACAATCAATACAAATCTAGAAGATGAGGCTGCATGCTATAAAATAATACGATTGTAATTACACTTTACAGGTCTGCT